TACACACACACACACACGCACGCACACACACACATATATTCTCCCCACACAGCAAATCTCGAGAAGGAGAACGAGCTGATAGGGGTGCGAGGTGATGGTGAGTGCGGGCACAAACACAGGCCTTTCACAACATTGTGCTTGCACTCTGCGACGCTGGCGACGAAGTCGTTCTCTTCCGCCCATACTATTTCAATCATCACATGGCACTGCAGATGACAGGCTGCAACATTTCGTACTGCCCACGCGACCACACAACCTTTGCGCCAGGTCCAAAAGTGCTTGTGTGTGTGTGTGTGTGTGTGTGCTTGTGTGTGCGTGTGTGTGTGTGTGTGTGCTTGTGTGTGCGTGTGTGTGTGTGTTCGGTTATGCTCTTGGTCGTGTTCATCGTGTGTGTGCGTGTTCGGATGCAACAACGCATGCTCAATGCATCTGCATGCATGGTTCAGATCTTGACTGGCTCGAGGCCAACCTTGCAGGAAAGAAGGTGCAGTCCTGCATGCATGCGTGTGTGTGTGTGTGTGTGTGTGTGTGTGTGTGTGTGTGTGTGTGTGTGTGTGTGTGTGTGTGTGTGTGCGTGCTGTCGTTCTTCGATAGCCTGAGTGTTTCGTTTGTGTGGTCGCATTGCCCCACCCCCGTGCCAACGTGTTGAAACACACACGCACGCGCGCACACACGCACACTCGTCTGCATGCGCAGATGCTGGTGCTTGTGAACCCATGCAACCCGACGGGAACGGTGGCCAGCAAGGAGGAACTGAAAGCAATGAGCAAGCTCTGCACACAGCATGGTGTCTGGTTCATTGTCGACAACACATACGAATACTTTGTGTTTGACGGCGCACACCATGAGTGAGTCAGTGTGAGAAGGGGGGTTGTGCGTGTGTGAATATGCACATGGTTACGTGTGTGTGCCTGTGTGAATATGCACATGTTTACGTGTGTGTGTGCGTGTGTGAGTGTACTTTCCTCTTGCTGTCCTTCCATCCACGCAGGTGCCCCTGTGTGTGTGTGTGTGTGTGTGTGTGTGTGTGTGTGTGTGTGTGTGTGTGTGTGTTGTGTGTGTGTGTGTGTGTGTGACCATTCCTTTCATCGTCTGGCCCCTCACCATTGTTGCCGCATCCCATGCAGATCCATTGGTGGCGACCACGTGCTGAACGTGTACTCCTTCTCCAAAGCATATGGGCTCATGGGCTGGCGCGTGGGCTACATTGCATGGCAGAATGATGTGTGTACAGTGCCAGGAAACGTGTGCTTGAAGACATGCGTGCTCAGGATGTCCACTCATGCCTTGTGAATATGCGCGCGCGCGTGTGTGTGTGTGCGATTCTGCAGGCCCTGACGCCACAGTTGATGAAAGTACAGGACACAGTTGTCATCTGCCCGGCTCGATTGAGGTGGGTGGCCTGCACCTCAAGTGCGCTCGAGGGGTGGCAAGACTCGCAGCACATGCAATCGTACGCATGGTCACCCAGCATTTGATGTGCTCGTGTGCCTGTTGCTTGCTTTTGTGTGTGCACCACCATTGCGTCAGCCAAGTTGTCGCGTTGGGTGCTGTGGCTGCAGGGCACGAGTGGTGTGCTGAGCGCATCCGCAAACTCGACACAAACCGAGGTCAGAGTGTGTGTGTGTTTGTTTGTGTGTGTGTGTGTGTGTTTGTTTGTTTGTTTGTTTGTGTGTGAGTGAGTGTGTGAGTGGGTGTGTGTGAGAGTGGGTGTGTGTGAGTGTGAGTGGATGTGTGAGTGGGTGTGTGTGTGTGAGTGGGTGTGTGTGTGTGTGTGTGAGTTGGTGGGAGTGCGCTCCTTGTGTTTCCTGCGTCTGCTCGCAGGGCGTGACCTGATGTCACTCATGTCGTGTTGTCGTCCCGTGCATGCACGCAGAGATTTTGTTTGACGCGATTCGCTCGTATGATCCCAACGCACTCGTTGGACGCCACGACGGCGCCATCTACGCCATGGTCAAGGTGTGCGCGTGTGTGTGTGCGT